TAGCGAAAGTGTCTTTCGACGTTCCCTCAAGAAGTTCACGGGGAGGTTCCAGTAAATCCCCTCACATTTACTGAAACATAGGGAAAGGGGGATTGACTTGACTGCCACTTACTTTGACTTGACTAATATTTTGACCACGAGTGCTTTAGAATATATAAACATTTTACACTTGACATTGGTTAAATGCACAAACCGTGCAAAGCCATATAGAAAAAAAAAACTCGTTACTGTATCTGTTTGGTTACTGTTACAGTTCTAAAAATGAATACGCTCGGTTGAAGCGTTCTAACGACGTTGTGATCCTAAACTGTAACAAGCGTACACATCCTCGTACTGTATCACGCATATTACGGTTACAGCTCGCTAATGAGTACCAGGCTTAGTGTTTTAAAAAAATTTTGTGCACGGGCTATACATCTGAAGTGAAACACCTTTTCTTAAATAACCTAACATCAGGCGGTGCATAAGGCATAGGGGAATGGAGCAGCGCACGTGTCACTCATATAGTCAGGTCATAAATTCTGTCACATGTTTAATATAAAATAATTGAAACAAGCCTCGTTGGACACGCGGAATACGGTTGCTCGCTTCTTCACTACTGTGTGCGTACACCTTATCATTTTGTTTGTTGTAGGTAAAAATTTTTTTGAAAAAAGAATTTCCCGATATTTTCGCTTCAAGCTTCAACAAAGCGCGGCATCTCTTCAGTCTCAGGTCCATTAGATTCACAGATTTCAAACGATGTCCTGTTTTTCTTCGATATGCCCGAAGCCCTAAGTCTTCACCGTGGTTCTGCTTAACCCCATCTGAAGGGCCAACAGTTGCTGCTTACCTTCACAGCTTTTATCCTTGCTGGAGTCCTAACAGACCGAGGGCGACCACTTCTTGACCTGTCTTCTACACTAAAGTCTTCATTGTATCGTTTTATAGTACGATAAACGAATCTTTTGGTTTTATTCAAATTTTTCAGTATGTCAAAAATTTTAATTGGCACGTAACCGCAACGATGCAACGCAATAACTGCAACACGGTCTTCTTTAAGCGTCCACTCCATATTTAAAAATGAGTAAAATTCTAAAAAGTATACATTTTTATTTTCATGAACAATTCGAAATTCGATTTCAATAAACTTTTTTGTGGCCAGCATTCTAAAAGAAAAGTTTTTACTGTGTGACAATACTTATGACCTGACTGTGTATATTATATTTATAAAAAGATTGAAGTTTTAACTACATATTCGGCTTTGGGCAAGCATTCTACATAAAATATCAAATTTTCAGTTCTGTCACTCATTCCCTTTATGATCTAGATTAGGGTTGCCAAAATCTCCCAATTTTACAGGAGATCCCCTGTTTCATTTTCTTCAACATGAATCTACTGTTTTTCTGAGAATACGATTTTCTTTTTTAAATTGCATGTTGAGTTGCGTTTTCCGCAATTAAGAATGTAGGTAACGTTAATTATAATGCAATAAACATATTTTATTGTATAAAAAGAACAAACGAGCGTTGAGGGGCGGCAGAAGCCACAGAAGCACATTCGTTGCTGGCCTATATCTTGATTATTTGATTTACCAATTCTAGGGCAAAGAAATCGGAAAAAGTACGCCTCTGCATCTATTGCTTATTCAGTTCTTCTTCTTCTTCTTGTATCTTCTTCTTAGCTCTTTCCATACATCTACGGCATTTTTCTATAACGCCTCCTGATTTTTTAAAAATCATACAGAAATACAGACGACAGTGTAACAGTAATAGAGTCCCATTTTTACCCTTTGGGTACGGAGCCCTAATAATGAATGAAGGATCGTACCTTCGACTTCTCGGAATACAGAAAAAGTGGGAACGGTGTACTTGTATTTGCCAAACATAATATATTTATGTTATTAATACATCTTTCCTCCTTAACATTTTCCTTGTCACATTATTTGCTATGCAAACTTTGTTGTGTATGTATATATTTACATCTGGCGGGAGCAAAATCCGATTTGCTTGGCGTTAAGCCAACGTTCACGATAGGTAAGTACTTTGTATCTTTTCGAACATGTTTAGTCTCATACGAATACAAAGAGCAACTTTGGTTACAACTTCACGCATCAAAGAATGTTGATTCTTCATAATTTTGATACAGTTGTTGTATTGATTTTAAGTGTATTGTTTTTAAAGTTCTGTACTTTAAAAGGAAAAACGGAACTTTTATAAGATTACTTTGTCGACCGTCCGTCTGTCAAGACCCTTTATCTCGGGAACACTTGGAGATATCGATTTGAATTTTTAAGACATGAACTCTAGGCTATGGTGCTTTGAAGATGTTTAAAATTTGAACTTTTAAGTTCACATCAAAGAGATACGGTAATTTATCTGTTTTTCTGTCAAGACCCTTTATCTCTGGAACACGTGGAGGTATCTTGTTGAAGTTTAAACCGTTTACAGTCCCTTGAAGGTGACCCACTTTTAAGACCTTTGACCACGAGTAAATTTTTTTTCCAAGTACCGGAACGATGGGATGTTTTTTTTATTTTAGTTATGTTTTGAACAATTTTTGATCGAAATGCTATTTTTAGTTATGTTTTGAACAATTTTACTCATTTCCAGCTTGATGTCTAGATTGACCGGACTATCTGGCGAAATAAGTTTGTGGCGAATAATAATTTTCTTTATTAATGACTTTTCTGTCACATCCGATTCAAAGCTAGGAACTTTGTTATCGCCCCGAATGAAAGTTTTCTAGTACTACTAAATCAGAGATAGTATTGACTCTTTTTTGTCATTGAAAGGCAATATGTGCTAACCTTGTATTTTATAAGATAGTCTAGTTACGCAAGAAAAAATGGTCATCTTTGGAATAACAGATATGGCCACTCACCTTCCCGCCGCGCCGCTTGATCAAGTGGCTTGATGAAATAGGCTTGATAAAGTCAAACTGACCGTATGTGGAGAGAGGTTTTAGAAGGGCATGCCACTCGACGGAAGGATTTTGGCTTGATCAAGCCTATTTGTTCAATCTACTTTATCAAGAGCAAGATGGTGAATAGCCACTAGTAAGCGGGGAAATTTAATAGTTGTATACGCCTGCTATTTGGCGATAATATAAATGAAAGTTTTCGCTAATTGGCTATTCCAGTGAATGTCTGTCGAATGCTAAATCCTATAATCCGCCAATGTCAGTCCTCATTCTCTTGTGACGCAGCTTAGACGTTGATCCCTACATAACGGGGTCAGGTATAGTGAGAGTACTTCGTGAAGGTGCAAGGTTGTCATTCTTGTTGTCTGCTTCGCTCATGTAAATCCAAATATCCCCACTTCAGCTCTCAAAAGATTGTTAGTGTTATGTCAAACATTATCACAATCAAAGTCCGTTGGAGAAGCCTTGTCAGTTCTGTTTAAATTGACCTATGATGGCAGTCTGAGCGTGTTTAATTATTATGAGGCATCGTATTAACACCGAGTCCTTTCTGATAAGAACACCTTCACCTTCATTTAAATTTCATATTAATGTAAACAACTTTCGCTTGAGTCTCGTGATGGAAAATTATGGGATGTTTATGATAATGTTGCGTGGAGGCATAAATTAATCACGTTTAATCTCCAATGGGTGTCGAAGATTCTCGTGAATGACGCGCGATATTTAAGGAGCAGAACGTAACGATAGAAGTATTTTTTTCAGAATACGTCAATGGAAGTTTTTGTTAAACTTCGTAGTTTAGTGGACATCAGGCAAGCAAATCAAGCGAATTCAATATAATTGGCAATTTTTTTTTTAATTATAATAATAATAATTTAATTTATTTGCCAAAATACAGTTCACAAGTTGATACATTTTATAGAAGTAAGTACATGTATTTTACCTGCGGGCAGGTGTGCAAAATTAAATATTGCAGTCAGCTATTTTGTCATCTGTCATATATTCCTTAATACATAAAAACATTTTTTTTGTAACCATTTTGGCAACTACTTTTAAACGTTGTTCCAGTTTCTTATTTTATATTTTTGGGTAATTTATCACATATACATATTAACATGTTATAAGCATTAACTTTATAAATATATGCGTGGCAAGGAGGCTGATATAATAAGTATCTATATTGACATCTGGTGTATCTATTGCTCATTTCTACGCCCTTCTCGAAATACTTGATGTGATCCCTGACAAAGAAACATGCTTCCTTTATGTACATGCAGGTCAATGGAAGTATTTAAAAAAATTTGAATAGGGGTTTGCAGCTTTCAAGAAACCAAGCACCATCTAACATTCTAATGCATTACACCCATCCACACTGGGCCTATGTGGGTCACGGTAAGGCCCAGTCTACCTATTCCATCTGTAGGGAAGGCCTGTGCCCCAGTATCTGATGGTCGTCAATATTTTATTATTTACTCAAGTGTATTTATGCGCCTTAAGTTGTTCTTGAAGTTGTTGTTGTCGTAGGGCGCTTTGATTACAAAAAACGTAGGTCATTGCAACAATTTATTTAAATCAATGGGTGTTATTTTAATCTTCACGTGAGCATATTTGATGAAACCTTAATTCATTGTTGTACCAGAACCTCCTCAACAAAAACCTAAGGTATATTTTGGCGTAAGCCATTGATTTCGAATATAAATAAATATTTAATATATAAAAATATGATATATTTAGTATATATTAAATACATAAAAAAATATTAAAATTGACTATAAAAAATACAACAACGTTAAAATTATGCCTCGTTTCTATGGGGTCTGTCGTGTCTGTTTATAGTATTGACTCGAATAGAGGAGCTCGATGGCGCAGGTGCATAGCACGTTCTGCCTGCGATAGTGGAAGTTCAGCTACTTTCGCAATGGTCGGTCATTGGATGGGTAACCAAAACTTATTATCTTGATATAGTAATAAGCTTAGTAATGTCTCCAGAATATAAGTTACATAACAGCCGATAATGATGGCCAATTCTGCTAAAGTAAGCCAACAGCTATTCTAAAGTCACCTTCAAGCTTTTTCTAAAGAAAATTGATTTTTTCCAGTGCAAGTGAACCTCAAGCCACGATAGTACGCAGCGTGAGCAACGCTTCTGCCTTAACTTCCCTCTGCGCTGACCTGTCGCCTTCCGACTCGCATTTCTTCGAAGTAAGTTTCATTAGTATCCTTGAGAGACGAACTATTTAGCGATCCATGGATTCACCGTGCGGGTGCCGGGTCCATCGTGAGCGAGAAACTTTGAGCAGTGCCTAGGACTTGCGACCCAGGTGTAGGATAAAGGCGGACCCCTCTGAGATGAGCATCGCTCAACTTCACTGCTCGGGTTGCTCACCCTTCTTAGCCAAATTTAATAGGAGCTGTTAGTGCAGCCTCAGTTACTCGTTCTAAAGTTGAACCAATTGTTGTTCTCGATAGGACAAGGACTTCTAGAGGGTTATAGAGAAATTTTGCTGGTATATATCTCGCTACCACTTCAACCAAATATAAATAAACCACATAGCCATTTTTGTTACTTTGTTTCGTACTAATTTCATACGAGCTAGGATCGACGCATTTTTGTCATTTTTCTAGTTAAATTGTATTCGTTAATCAAACCATTGAAAGGCTTAGAGCATATACCAATGCTCTAAGTTGAAAGGTCATGTTCTATCCTTGTATTTTATAAGATAGTCTAGTTACGCAAGAAAAATGGGTCATCCTCGGAGTAAGAGATATGGTGGCCGAGTGACCTTCCCACCGCTTGATCAAACAGGCATAATAAAGTCAAACTGACCGTATGTGGAGAGAGGTTTTAGAAGGTCATGCCACTTGACAGAAGGATTCTGGCTTGATCAATCCACTTTATCAAGAGCAAGATGGTGAGTGGCCATAGTTGTATACGCCTGCTATTTAGCGATAATATAATTCAGCGGTGTCTGTCGTGCTGAAAGCGAACAGTGGGTTTTTTTGGGAACAAACAGAATCAAACTATAACATAGGTTCCTAGAACAAATTTTCACTTGCTTCATAAATGCTCGCTGGTATCTTTTTACTTAGGAAAGCTCAATTGTAGGTGTTTTCATCATTGGAGTAATAGAAATCCACATAATAGCTTTAAAGTATTTTGCGGTTTTCTGAGTTTCTACACATATTTCTCCAATGATTGCAAATCTTTCACCTAACTTTTGAGAATGCTAAAAGGAAGGTGTATACTAGTTTCCAGCTTATTATCTGTCATCCCGAGACTGGTCTAATAGTTTGTTTCCTGCGAATCTTGATGACGAAACTGGATTTTATCATATTACAGGTGCTGTACATAGGAAAAGTTAGAATATCCCAAAGGAAAGTTCCAGAATCATTAATTGATGATGCACTCATCAAATTTGCCCAGCATGAAGCTGAGAAAATCAAGAATCAAAGGAGGCACAGTCTCTTGTCCTCTACTGAAGTAAGTAATTTCGAATTCAGAGAATATTGAAGTTTAGTTACATTGCGACGTTTTGTATAAAGCAATATTGAATAATTAATTACCTACAATAAGAAAGTAAAAGTGGTCTATATTTTTGTCCCTGTGATTTTAGTTAACTAATGTTTAAAAAAATCGAAATTGTTTTTTTTTTAATAAAACATGTCACTACGCAAATAGGGGTAAAGACGGGGTAAAGTAAACAAAATTCTATTTATTCCGACAGTTAGATGATCAAAAAATAATAGACACGTATTTTTCTTGGGCAATCAACCAAAAAATGACAAAGATAAAGCGCGTCAAAGTTTGGGAGTAGGGGCTCGTGACGTCATGCGAATTTTCAAATCAATATAATCTCTGCATTGTTTATATTATGTAAAAAAAGAAAAAATACGTATCCAATACTTTCTGAATAATCTACCCGATAAACGAAGAAAAAAAATTGTTGTCATCCCTATTATTAATTTATTATTTGAGATTAACTGATTTCATAAAATATAAGTCACTGTAATACTATATTTTATGTAATTTTCAGACATCAGTCGACAACAGTAGTAACTCTTCAGAAAATGTTAACGTCAGTCAAAATGAAATAGATAAAAAACTAAACCTAAGCCGGAGTACAACCCCACTGGAACCAGATAAAATCTCAATAGTTAGTGAAACACTATCAAAAACTAAGACTGAATCGAACGAAATCGACAAAGAGTTTGATTTGTTTAGCAAGGAGAGATTGGAAAGAAATGTAGCAAAGAAATTAGTAACTAAAGATACTATGGTATTACCACTCAATGTTCCTAAAAATAATCTGGGTACTGTAGATGAGGATGAAGAAAAATTTGACACGAATTCGGTTTTATCTGATACGGCATCGTCTATAACACAGTTTTGTCAAAATATAAGAAATACCCCTGACAAAAGTTCGATTGTTGATTCTAATGAAACCATTTATAAAGACTTTAATCCTATAGTAAAAGATGCTAGTAAAAAAGTAGTTAACAAATTAGTTGATGATAAAGAAAAAGAAAATAGTCCCATGAACTTTGAAGAGATACCGAGAAAACCAAAGATGTTAAATGCTGCTACTGAAGGGGGTGATGTAAGACGATGTGCGATGCCTGAAAACAGACCATTTTTAAGAGACAGATCTGCCTCGATTGGCTCATTAAATGCTAAAACACCAATCACACAATTTCTAGGCGAACAAAACAGGACGATGCTCTTTCAAGTGAGTCTTTTGTAAAATTATCTTAAAGTGTATGTTTCTTTTTTCAATAAAATATTGTACGTATGGAGTTAAAGATTGAAGGCGAAAATATATTTGATGTTGCTATTATTACGATCTCCTACTATTATTTTGGGTCAATTGCACCTAATTCTATAAAATAAAATCTCTATTGACTTCAAATAGTCGTTAAAGAAAGAATTTTAATGTTTAACCTTGGGCCAAGTTAAGTGTAGCGATAACCTAGGTTCAAGTGTTTTACATTGAATACACTTAAACTAGACAAGAGGCAACTTACTCATGTTTGTTAAAACACCATGAAACTTCTTTTTTTCTACAATGTTATACTTGTTTGGCTCTATTATCATCTGAATTAACTTTTGCAATACCCTTGTTTAGATCCTAAAAGCTCAAATCTAATATCTTATGCAGTGTTTTCACTTAGTTCTAAGCGCAATGCTGAGCCAGCAAACATTTGTTCGTTCGGTAAATGGAAACATAAGTGCAAACGAAAGAGTTCTATCAACGATGTTTGACCGGACTCAGTTGCTCTCTTGCTCAATCATCAATAGAAACAACGCTACGGCGATCGAACATTTGCTCAGAGCATTCCATTTATAGAGCGAACAAATGTTTGCTTGTTCAGAACTGTGCTGACTTTAAGTGGAAACGCAGCATTATGCAAACACTTTTTGTTTATAACAGGTAGGCCGTTCCGAACTAAGACTGATAAGTCCTGACAGGAAACAGATATTACTGCACAGAGAATTCAAAGATGTTGCCAGTTGTGTACTTGGGAGGATCAATAAGGAGCACTTCGGCTTCGTCTGTAGGGAAACCAACGATTCGTATGCTTGCTACGTGTTCAAATGCGAAAGTGATTCCATTGCCCAAGAAGTTATCAATGGTAAGGGTTATTTTTTTGCTAGGACTTCATATGGCTATTCGTTTTTTCTATTTGTCAAGTGACAGCAGTCCTTCCTTTTCTTTTCCTGTAGAGCATTATAAGAATTATAGCAGCATATACGAATAGCTATGTGAAGTGCTATTTGATTATTATAATATTATTACAGATCCCAAATACTGAAGCCTTCACAATCTTCCTCTCTACTAATAATGTCGCCTACTCTGAGGTTCCAGTTTCGAATTCCGTTGGTGCAAATGTTTTTATGATGAATACGAACATTTATATCTAGGTCATGGTCATCTCATCAGGATCACCAATTGTATATTGAAACAAATAAATTATTATTATCTAAGTCATTTATATATCTGGACGAATGAACTGATATAATTATGTATCATTATGTTTTGCTATCTGTCACTTTAGCATCCCATAGTACAAATTTTTACTTTGGGATTTATTGGTGTTATAATTTGGTATCTACGCTTATATTAGAAACCTATGGCTGAATTTTGAATGCGTTTTCAGCAATAAGACAAGCATTCATAGCGCACGCTGAACTACTGAAGAAATCCAGAGAAAAGTCACCGAATTTGAGCTGCGACCATTGCCCGATGGTGTGGTACCACAGACTGTGTCATGATGTAGAAGGTACGTACAAGGGTATATTTGACAAGGTTTTAAAAACTATCATAAGATATATTTTTACCTAAATTTAAAAAGAATAAAATTATTCGTTTGTTTGTATGCTTCAACTAAACACAAAAAACTAAAGTACCAATTTCAGAAAATCTTTCACCATTAGAAAGCTACATAATAAGTGAATAACATAGGCTACGTTATAATAATAAAAAATTTTTAGATGGTTAAGGAAATAGACCAAAGGCGCGTTTGAAACTGACCACTCTCTAGAAAGACTTAGAAGAACTATTGTCCGCACTGTCAGTTCGTGCCATGTTTTATTTTATAGTTACAAGTTCCACAATTGCTGAGTAAAGTTCCAAATAAGCTACTTAGAACTTATCTGCTCAGTAAACAAACAGTGATGTTGATTTTGACGTTGACAGGGCATTTTTTCTTGCTTATAAACTCTTTTCTAAAAATTTACCTCATCCCTATTCTTTACTGAGTAGATTATCTTACTTAGAATTTTACTCAATGATTGTGAAACAGGCCCTAAGTCTACTAACTCTTATAAAACAAGTGCTCATTGTCAAAGTGCTGATTTACCTCCGTAAAAAGTTTTTCCGCCTTTTTCTAAAACGTGCACTAAATTAAGTCTGGGTTTAAACTTAATGCTGTCTCTGCTTTCTTTTTAGCAAACTAAAGTGACATCAGTTTTCAACCAAGTTTAACTTAAGGCAACGTTTTGTATTAAGGCAATATACGTTTTTGTTCTGTTATGCATTTTAAAAGCGATACAGATGTATAATCTCCTCATCATCGTCTAGGTATGAATGAGAAGAGAGTTCACGCTTTCATCCTCCGTCGTGTGGAGCAGTTGCCAGAAGATGAACAGGATCTCATCATCACCAAATACCAGGGCGGGACCAATCACATGTACGAGGTACATACATCATCATCAGTGACGTACCTTTTAGCATAGATGAAATACATGAACTAATTATGACATTGAACAATACAAAGTTGATTTGAAGGCTTTGATGGTATATCGACGGATATAATAAAACGTAGTCGTATGGTTCTCGGTGAAGTATTGACCTATTTGGCATCATCATCAGCCTATTAATGTCCCCACTGGTGGGGTACAGGCCATCCCTATGGATTGAATAGGGAGAATATGTCGTGACCCACCATGCTGACATAAGACGGATTCGTGAAAATATTAAACAAATAGTGAAATTTTAATGGTTATTTTCTAACGATAGAATGATTTTCTATCGTTGGCCATCCTCGTGATGCATAAAAAATTACTATTACAACCGTTATTTGGAATCAAAATTACATAATATTATCCTCTTCCTTTTCAGATCATTTCATCATGTAAGGGAAATTGCAGTTTTCTTTAATTACATAACTCATCTCTCTTACCCCCCTAGCATCAGCACCGCCATATGATATTGTGGCGGTGACATCTATATGCCCCACATATAACTAACATGGAGGAAATAATCACTCACCTCCTCATGAGATGGCGCTACCTGCGCTGCGATCACAATAGTATGGAAGCCTACATCGCGCAAGTGAAATTCGGAGGCTAACACTCGATATATACAATGCCCGACCAACATCAGTCGGGCCGTCGCCCCCAAGCTACCATCTCCTAGCTCGGAGGGAAATCTTCCATTTTGGCCTTCCTACAATATATCGCTCGGTTTTATCACGCTGAAATGTCAAATTACTATGGAATTTGTCAGTTAGTCGCGATAAAAAACGTGATATAATGTTTATTGCGTGGCTCATGATACGGGAGGCTGAACTAACTATGGAGGTACCAAATTTCATGCGGTCGTTTTTATGATTAAGTATACAAACATCCAAACTCATACTGCGCGTTAGCAAACAACGCCGTGAAAAAAAGTCACGCTGACTAAATTTGCTAGGATACTTCAGTTAAATTGATCGAGTATTTATATTCTTTTTGATTTATTTAAGGTGGGTGAACACAACGCGTTTCTGATGATGCTCCTCAGAACTCATTGCGAAGCGAAGCAGTTAAGACATGTTCACGATACCGCAGAGAACAGGTATAGATTTTTTTATGATAATAAAGACTTAACTACATTAAATAAATAAGTAATCTTGCTAATCGACAGAAACACAATGAAAATGATGAATGGTCTTCTGTATAGATACTGGAAGTTACTTTTCCAGACGGACGCATTTTTTCGACAGCCTTCGACAGATATTCCGATTGTAGCAGAAAATTCACTTTGATCTTATGTTAAATAAAACTATCCTATATTCTGTATTTTTGCAGATCAGAGTTCCTAAATCAGTATTTAGGTGGCAGCACCATCTTCATGAAAGCCAAGAGGTCTCTGTCTAGTGGTTTCGATCATTTGCTGAAGAGGAAAGGCAGCAGAGATGATGGACTTTTTGTCAAGAAGGTTCGTAGTTTATATAGACGATATAATAATACACTGGACATCAAATAAACTGGGTCACCCGCTAGTTCCTTAGAGCTCTTATTAGAAAAGAAGTAGATTTTGCGGAATATAACAATGATAAAACAGTAGATAATCAAAGTAAACTATACGAAACACTTTTTACCATGTAAATATATATGAAGCCATTTAACAACAAAATTGATCCATATTGAGTTAACATGCTATGTGACTAAAATTATGAGTACACAATTATTTAATAAATGTAATGTGACGGTTTAACAATTACACCGGAAATAGAAACAATATTAGTATATTTTTAAGCATTTAACTTCTGGAACTTTATTTTCTTCCGCTGAACACTTCTTCCGCTATCCGTACTAACCAATTATGCTACCGTGACCTTAACGGCCGTATCGAATTTCTCCTCTTATTTCTGAGGCTGCGAGACCAGTAAGCCTATTCGCTAACTGTATTTGACAGATGGAAGTGATAATAATCCCCGAACTATTTAGTGATTCACTACTGCTTTTTTATAATGACACTAAGATACTTGTGCTGGAAAATATCAATTGATATGCAATTTACTCTTTAGTTACATATCGTAAATACCAAAAAACTTAGCGAATATCCTGTCAGATTTAAAAATAAAAATATTAAACTATATATTTTCAAAACCAGCTCAAATAGAATCATTGAAAACCTTCTTGTACCTAGTTTTTTAATAAGCAACTAACACTTTGTTTTCGCAAAGGATCCATCACCTATACCGATCTCATCACCGGTAGAAACTCCAACGGAACCACCGAATACGGGCCCAATAACACCCACCGACGGAAGTCGGAACAAGTCTTTACCACCAGCTGTACCAATAATCGAAGCAGGTAAGAATTTATTTATGAATTTAACAATTTTAGATAAAATAACAGCCTCAGTAAAGAGTATTACAGAGAAAATCTCTAAGCATGGAGAGCTGATATTGGATAAATTATAAACAATATTCTATAATAAATCAGAAAAAATAACTTAATTTAGCAGAGAAGCTAAAAAAATAGCCATTTCATTCCTCGCTTTTTTGAGAATGGCAAATATTTCGTAACAGAAGAAAATATCACTAAAGCTGCTTATTCAATAGGCAACATTTGTGTATAAACACTGTTTATAAACAGTATTTGACAATGTTGCATCACAATTTAGAAACGGTTTATAAACAAAGGTGATGACACATCGTTTCAGATACATGTTGCCGTGTTCTCCATTCTGAATGGAGTGCAAGACGAGAGTGTGTTGCGAGAAGTTTATAGTTTATATATTTTTCTAAGCAACAATAATTGTTATAATAATCTAAAGGCCACTTGCAGCAAATTTGCTAAATCTCGATTCAACTAAAACTAGCTTTAACCCATAAAATGTCAAAGCCTCAATGTCAATGTGACATTATTTCAATGGGTTATAACTAGTTTTAATTAAATTGAGACTTACTGGATTGTGGAAACAAGTCGTTAACAATCTGTAGTGTCTGAAAATACTGACGTTTAATTTAGATTCTCTATTCTTTTTAGAACAACAGCCATACCCGGGAACCCCACCAGGTACCGTTGATGGAGATTATGAAGATGCAAAGGACGATTGCACTACGCCAGTCGTATCACCAATGATGGATATGTAAGTTGATGAAATTAAAACTCTTAAGCTTTAGGTAATTAATAATGAATATTGTCAGTAATGCATCTCTAATTTACAGTTTTTACAAAAGCAATTATTTAGTTTTTGGGGCAAAACCGTAAGATTTTAATATTTTATTTAAAGATTCAATCTACGAATTGATGTTCTTGCAACTTGATTTCAATACTCGTACTAAGGAAATCAAAAGACGTTGTCGTGTCGTGCTCAGTCGAAACAACAAAAACCCGACTGCAACGTCAACGACAGAAACACACATACAAAACTGCAACCGAATCACGCAAACGCGAGTCGTTTAAAAAAGTTTGATGACATATAATGCAGATGGTTTACGGCCAGCACCCTTAGCACGAACCATTTTCAAATTCGAATAGTTTGAGAATGCGAAATGTCAATGTCAAATTTTGTATGGAAACCACAAAGTACGTAACGAGAACTAAAATCAGTACACATTTGACAATGACATTTCGGACTCCCAAACTACTCGTATTCGAACTCGATATTGGTTTGTACTAGAGGTACTGTTTCAATAATCCAATGATTTTAAATTAAAATAACATGTGTTGCCTAGAAACGGTACCGGATTATCCTACCATTCTAGCATGGTCTTTAAAATTATTGCTTATAAACTTTTGTTATATTTTGTAGCTTCCTCAAAGTGAGCGACTCGAGGCCGCCCGCGACAGAAGCCGGTGGCGAACACGATACCACCTGGCGTCAGGCCATCTACGAAAAAGTCATTCATCCAACAGAAAACCAAGAAGGTATATACAGGGTTAATTTGAAAACACCAACAACCTCTTAGTGGGTGATTCTACCCATCAACAGGAACAACTTTTTTTTATGGGAACAACTTTTTTTTATGGGACCAACGCTGAAATCGCTGTTTCATACAAAAGTGCATCAGCTAATCGACCGATTAGGGTATTTGACAAGGTTTAGGCAACGATCTCACGTTATGTTTATGGAGTCCGTTAAAAGTGGATATTCATCATACTGTTATGTACTTCAGTAGAAATAACCATATCAAAAACTCCATTTTCAAGTTGCCGCGAAAACGTTTCTCTGGACAATATGGCGTCTTACTAGTGTGTGACGTCACACGACTGTTATTAAAACGTCAAACGATACAATATAATGTCACTTTAACCGGAAGTTTACTTGCGTGTGACGTCAGTTTAGGCTCCGCCAATCCCAAGCGTTTTGGGTCATGTGACAATAGATAGGAAAACTATTATCTTTTTCGAGGGTTTTTTAGTAAAATTATGCAAATTTTTTTGGAAAAATAGTAAAAACCCCTGCCTTTATTCATACTCAACACAGATGCTAACAATTGGCACTTTATTTTTGATACTGTCAAGTACCCTAATTTTTCGTCCCATAATAAAAGTTGTTCCTGTTGATGGGTAGAATCACCCCCTAAAAGGTTATTGGTGTTTTACCCGGTAGTTTTAAACGGCTATGGTTACTAACATTACAGCAACAAATGGAAAAGGTGTGATGACTAACTGCTTCTCCTTCGTCCATCAAATAGACTATCAAAAAATATTGGACACGTATTGTTTTCACCTTTTTTTTATGCAAAATAGGTAATGCGTTTGACCACAATCTCACCTGATGGAAAGCGATGATGGTACACGCCAGCCTAGATGATGCCTGTTCAAAACATTACACAGATAAATTGATTTGAAATGTCGCATGACGTCACGTCGTGGTACAAATTTCTACTTAAAAGTGACGTCACGAGCTCCGAAGCCTTGACGCGCTTTACATTTTGGTTAATTGACGGGAGAGAAATATTTTGTTGTTGTTTTTATTATCTAACTGACGAACTAAATAGAATTTCGTTTACTTCAATCTCGTCATCATTCCTATTGCTTTCGTGTATGCAGGTAGTTACTCCGTGATCTGTGACCAAAATATCAGGGTCTCTCAAAAAATGAGTACCTGCAGTACATGGTGGCAATCACATTTATTACGGTAATGAGGATCATTCCTAGGTCAGCAAATTAATCAAAGTTTAATGATCTAATTAGCATTTTAATTAATAAACTTTTTAAATCATTGAAATCGTTCATCGAATATTTGCCAATATTCACCTGCTCAGGTCGCTCGCGCCGCGCGTTTAAATTCTGTAACGTCACAGCCATCACGCGGCGAGGCGAAAATTCGTTCAGTAATTTGGTCATAACTTTGTCAATATTTGTCATGTTTTTTTTTTAAATTTCTTTTCCTAGGAGCCACTTGCAACAACATTCATAGGTTTCCCACTTTCACCAAAGTTCTTAATTCAAAATTATGGTTTAGTCGTGTTTAACACATCATTTCATCTTTGTCAATTGTTTATAGTCAGAGATAGAATGAGACTTAAACACGATTAGCTTTTAATTTAGAACTAAGAACTTTGAAATTGGACGTTAAAATCAAATCAAGACTTAATCGTGTTTTACACGTGTTTTCTTCTTTATCAATTGCTTCAGGTATAATAGATATATGATTAGGAGAATTGACCATGATTTATTTCATTCTTATAAAATTTTGTTTAAGAGCTATGGTTCAATTGGGCCTTAGGATTGTAAAATGTTTTACGAATTTCAAATTTTCAAATTATTATTCAATTCAAATTAATATTTACATTGAAATGAATAGTAATCTTAAATTGTCATACTGAAAAAATTTGTTATTATAGGTATATCACACTAAATCACTAAATTGACATAAAATATTTTTATTTTGAACTGACATTGAGAATTGTAATTAATATTGACATAAATTTGAATTTAAATTATAATGATAAAATACTTGTTATTAAATGAATGATTAGTAAATTTAATATGACTGTTATGTTTTAATATATTAGAATTTTTTGCATGCTATTAATATGGCTATATAGGTTTAAGATTATTAGCTTTTAACATATGCTTTATATGCAAACACCTTTTGTCAACCCTATTTAATGCAAATAAAGATTATTTTAATCTATTCAAAAGTTTGATATATCATTTTCGTCCCCAAAGGTCTTCTCAGTGCCCCACTTTCAAAAGGCAAACGGAGCAAAGAAGAATTGAAGCGTTTATGGAAGATGGCGATCGATCAAACATTACTTCTAGTCAGAATGGAGAAAGAAAACGCTAAACTCAAAGGTAAGGAAGGCTCAAATCTTTTACATATAAAAATCAATTGCTGTTCTTTAGTTTTGCTAAAACTCGAGAACGGAGAACGGATTTATCTTATCTTGGTTTTGAAATGTTCATGGAGGTCGAGGGAAGGTTTAAAAGGTGAGAAAATATGGAAAAATTGCGAGGAAGATAGTAAAAACGACAATTTAATTTTCCCATATAAACTGATGTATCTTCTTCCCTGTCAAACATTTGACGTTCGTCCCTTTTGGTACGGTACACTCGGGTCCGTCATTTCTTCCAAATTATTTTAACCCTTACGAAGTACTCAGGGTCAACTAGTACCTAATAATTATTTTTATTCTAGAAATAGTTCCAACGAAAGTTGGAATTTTCTTGCTCGTAATGCAATTTTCATATGCGTTTAAGCTACTTATAGTATTATTTATAACGTAACATATGCGTTGATAATTACGAAGATGGCATATTTACTTTTGGTTAATAATTTCAAAGTAGATACAGATAGTACTAAGGACCTAGTTTAAAGCTCGACAGTGTTTAAGTTTTGAGTAAATAAAAAATATTTGATTTGCATTTCATAATTTGAGATGCAGACATAATTAGTTCAAAGCTAGACAATGTTAAATTTTGGGTGGACCTCGTTTAAATTTTAACTTTATATTGGAATGTTATTCTGGTCTAAGCTATTTTTGCGACTGAACTCCACAAAGACGTAGACATAACGTTTACAGATAGTTCTTTCTCTGTAGTGTCTGATCTTTTTTCTTTGTCTATTTAATTTTTCCATAAATAATTCCAACACGCTCTTTCGAAATGACTGGTCATATGATTGGTGACCAAAAATTTATTTTCCCGAGCTCGTCGGTGCTTCAGAAGCCACTTTAAATCATCGGTCCCGGCTGCATCTGCAGTCGTTAGCACCCACCAAATCTCACAGGGCCCGCGTGGTGGGTCAGGACGTGATATTTTCCCTATTCCATCCATAGCGAAGGCCTGTGCCCCAGCAGTGGTGATATCAATAGGCCGATGATGATGATAAAACTATTGTCTACAGAAAGCGAAGAGTCCTCAGCCGTTCGCCGATTAAAGCTTGAATATTCGGAACTGGGTGTTTGTGACGCCGGAGTAACTCTAATGTGGGACTCTTTATTGTCACGCAATGTATCCCGTCCTATCAGTAAAGTCGACAGGCATATGCTTACACAGGCTGTTATACAAGGTCAGTATACATGAGATTATTAAAGTATTTGTATATGTCAAGAAAGGATCCAAAATTCAAATTGATAAAATACAAGCATTTGCGGGCAATTTTTCGACATATCTACAATTAAATAGATATTTATGAAAGTTGTGATACGTATAATATTTTTCTGTCTAACCTAAATTGCTAGTTTTAATGTAAAGGAACAGTCAACTTGGCTCGGGCTAACAGGTACCTCGCAGAATTGAATTTAGGAAGTTAGGCGTGAAAACATTTAGAACCTTAAATTCTATACCGATTTATTTGGTACTGAGTATAGGTACACAGCGGTAAACTTATTGGGCCAAACTATGGATAACGCAGCATAGGCAGTAGTAATTTTATAAATAAAATCGTATATTTTGCAAATAAATTGCCTATGATTAAAATTTTGCTCTAAAAGTTTGCCGCTACCTTTACTACATATTGCCAAGTAACAAAAGCAATCAAAAATCTTGGAACTTAATTCAAAAAGAAGATTTCAATTGAAAGATCGGTTAGAAATATTGTTCATTTCTGAACTATTTGTGAATTGCGGTAATAACAAATGTATTGCCTTGTACAACGGTTTATTGAAGTAAGAAGGATGACACCATACAAAATTATTATTTATTATAAAAAAAATGTGGATACCTTCATAATAAAATATTAGTACTATAGAAAAAACACATTCTTAAGACTTAGTATTAAGAATGAAAGTAATAATAACACTTCTAAGACAACCATTACAATTTCCAGTAATTTTAGTTTGTTTATTGAACTTTTTCTCCATTTTTCATCTATAGGGCAGGTCTGTGCCCTTACAGTGGGGTCAATATTAAGCTAATTTTGATGATGATTAATTTGTTATGTTTCCAGGTGTTCCAAGAGTATCCAGAGGTGGAGTTTGGTACTTCCTAGCAGAACAAGCTAGTCTGCGTTCCCCTCCACCAGATGTGAGACAGTACCCTCTGTACCACGCGCCTTATCGTACGCTGCTCGCCGGACTTACTAAGCATCAGCATGCTATTCTCATTGACCTAGGTAAGACAATCCTGATTCAAAATCATTTATTTATAAAAAAAACAAAATACTAGAGAAAATCCCCTCACAGACTGAATTCCAACCTACGCTGCTTCGCTATTGATTCGCAAGAGTTCCCTCTACCACGCACCTCATCGCTTGCCGGACTCACTAAATGCCAACACACCATACAAAGAAAACTTTCTAAAACTATGTTTTGCGCAAATAAAATATTTGAAGTTTGTGCAGCTGGGAGTTATTAAAATTACCATACCAAAGTATGAACCATCTAAAATTTATGTTTCACATTATCTAAAGCACACGTGAATTCTTTAGTTTGGGGCAAAAACATACTTTTCCAATACTAAAACATAAAGAAATTTTGTTTTCACTTTCTCAGGTCGGACTTTCCCAAAACACTCCTACTTCGCGTCATCCTTTGGACCGGGTCAACTAGCATTGTATAACATTCTAAAGGCGTATTCCTTATTGGACCCAGACGTGGGGTATTGCCAAGGACTGAGTTTCGTGGCCGGAGTTCTGCTTATGCATGTAAGTTTCTTCTAGCCAATTTATTGGCTTAATTATGATAACAAATGGCGTTATCATGAACCTAAAACTAAAAAAATAAGAAAACCAGATTATACTTTAGGATGAAATCTTGAAGATTTATGTAGATGACTTCATGGTAACTAGTGAAGAAAAACTTACACTGAAAAACAAAAAGACCATCCGCAGTTTATTTAGGATTTAAACCTCCAATGTATTCTAGGTTCGTACAAATCCAATCATACACGAACAGAAGAAATCGGAATTTCAATAAGTGCGATGTTACAAAGTACGTTATCAAATCAACATAACAGAAGTATTTATATTTTTTTACCTTAAAAGAACTTTAACTTTAATATTCAAAATCTTTTCAGATGGAAGAGGCTGAAGCTTTTATCCTACTTCGTCACTTGATGTTCAGAAGGGGACTGAGAAAACAGTATTTACCTGATATGAGTGCTTTACAAGTTCAGGTATGTAGACATATATATATCTTATCTTACCTCGATGGTATTGTTAATATAACGTAAAAATACAAAAGGTGATATGAAGATAATTTTCATTGCAATATGATATTTGGTTAAGTCTAGTGTTATTTATAATTTCACAGATCTCTCGTTTTCATTCCCTAGAGCATGATAAAGATAACAGTATTGTCAAATTTACAAATATATAATAATATAATATATACAATATTTGATAATACGAATAGCGATGTGAACGACCAAGCATCAAAGAAGACTTTTCACAGTACGATTTCTTTGTACCCTCATTTTCTAAATATTAAGCTGATAATGGAATATGCATTTGGTTTATGAAAACGCTGCATTTGTTCTTTTATCATCAGCTACACTTATAACATATCGCCATTCTGACCTGATGGTGATGAAACTGCTGGTTTTATAAATATAAAAAATACTTTCCTTGTAAAATTTTCAGATCCTAAATTTTGAACATCAATGGACGGAGATACGAGACAGTCATTTTAGTATACAAAATGTCTTACTCTCTAGTAAATAAGCTATAATTTCGCTAGCTGTGTCATTCTGATCTTATTGTAAACCTTGCTGTCATAAAAACATATCATATTTGCAAGTTAATAGAGTCTAATTTTAAGCCAGAACTTCACGCAAAACTCGATTATCTGGATATCTCGCCCGCGCTATACGCCGCACCCTGGATTCTGACACTGTTTACCAGCTAGTTCCTTTTATTGGTTTATGAGATATATAGAAATATCTAACACATCACTATTCTGATCTCAATGTAAGCCTTGCTATTATAGAATAATATATTCTGATATATTATTCTTCTCGAGTAAAAATATGTCTAATTTCGATAGATACACAAACTATCGTGACTATAAGCCCGAACTCCACGCCATCGCAATTCTATATCATAATCTAAGCCTTGCTGTTATAGAAAAATATGTAACAAAAGAGAGAAAGAAATAAAGAAAAAACATTTATTGACGACATACATTTACTAACTCGATTACATTAAACACACATCAAATATGAGACAATAGGTATATCGTCAACTAGGCCCCCCACCTCAGGCATAATGTTGCAACGGCAAATGGATTGCCTCTGCAACGCCGATATTCTGGAGGGACCTAATTTGGGCATCAACGGACGAAAAAACAAGACAATCATTTTAGTATACAAAATGTCTTACTCTCAAGTAAATAAGCTCTAATTTCGCTAGCTGTACCATTCTGATCTTAATCGAATCCTTGCTGTTATAAAAAAATATATCATATTTGCAAATTAATAGTCTTATAAATATTATTAGCTCTACCAACTTTCGCGATTACTCCGCGACCACGAGCCCGAACTCCACGCCAAGCTGGAGTATCTGGACATCTCGCCCGCGCTATACGCAGCACCCTGGATGTTGACGCTGTTCACCAGTCAGTTCCCATTGGGCTTCGTCGTCAGAGTTTTTGGTGAGAGAACTTTTAGCAATTTTAATACGTCACATAAATAAAAAACTATTTCTCAAACATACTTGGAAATGTGAAAACTGCATTATTTTGACAACCTTCTTCGAGCTAAATCGTAATTGCTGTTCTGGCCACATACATGCGAGCAGCGGCTGGCAAAAGTTGTATGAAAATCCATATCTGTCTGTCTGTGCCTGTCAAATAAATTACATAGTAAAATCTTATCTGTCCGAAATATGGTTTTATATTTGTTTTTATTTATTTTTAAGCATTTATGGTTTTATATGTTCAAACTGACTTGCATATAGAAATATGTTTATTTAAAAAAAACTAATAATGATTGTTGTTGTGCGTCATTGGTTTTGAAATCTAGGTAATTGTATTTTAAAATAATAATTTCTGCTTATACCACTCAGTTTTACTTTCTGGGCATTATTTGAGAAAAATACTATACAAGCCTTTTTTTCGATTTATTGTAATTATATTGCACTTCGCTTAGGCTCACATTTTTGTCCAATAATGCTGCTTTTGCTGGCCGCTGCAGTAATGTTCTATTTCTAATATTCGTACGAATTAGCCTATGTCAAGGGGATATTTTTTTTATGTTAAAAAGGTGGCAAACAAGCGTATGATTCTCCTGATGGTAAGTGGCCACCATAACTTATACAGGCCTCGCGCCGTTGAAGAACCCACCCTGACCTAATCTCCTCCTGAACCTCACACAGAAACCTGGCATCCTTCCGGGATAAAAAAGTATCCTTCGTCTCAATCCAGGTCATAAACAATATGCATACCGTAATTCATCCAAGTTGTTTTTGCGCGTTTCAGTAACAAACATAGAAAGTTTTACATTTATAATAAATAATTATTAAATGCTTAAAAAATAAAAACAACTATAATTGCTATTTCTTCTTTCAAATATTTAATACTTGAAAAAGTATTCATTTGACATTGTGGGTTACCTACAATGCGAAGAGATGGCGCTACCTTGCAGCTTAAGACTAGGAAAATTTCGACGCTGCCATCAGGGCCATGGTAGCATAATTGGTCAGTGCATTCGCCCGGATTGCGAAGGATGCGGGTTCGAGTCCCGTCCGCTGCCTGGTCCGCGTGGATATTTTTATTTTCTAGTAAAACTTTTCTTTAGATTTAAACATCTAGCAGTTAAATGCTTAAAAAACAAAACAACTATTTATAATATTAGTCAGATTAACCAATCACGTGCGCGGACAGTTGGCAACGGTTGCCGCGACCAAACCCGCACCCCCGGCGTGATGCGGGGGGACTGTGGTCCTCAGAATGTACGCCGGGTGATCGGTGCAGGAGTATTGTCTGGTTTTTAGTGGCCCTGTTCAGGGCGTTAGGTAGCTCATTTCACCCGGCCTAAGGGCTGGTTGTAATGAGCAGGGAGGAATCCCACATACTTTCTTTTCGGTCCCCCGGTGGCTGAAGGTTGCGTAAGGCATTTCCCAGACAAAAGAAAAGATTAACCAATCACGAATAATACTTTGAGGAGCTCGATGACGCAAGTGGTTAGTGTGTTCGACTGCGATCGTTGCAGTTAAGCAACTTTCGCAATGGTCGGTCATTTGATGGGTGACCAAAAATTTACTATCTCGAGCTCCTCCGTGCTTCGGAAGGCACGTTAAGCCGTTGGTCCCGGCTGCATCTGCAGTCGTTAGCACCCACCAATCCGCACTGGGCCCGCGTGGTGGGTCATGGCCCAATCTCCCTATTCCATCCATAGGGAAGACCTGTGCCCCAGCAGTGGGGACATTAATAGGCTGATGATGATGATGATGATGATGAATAATACTTTGTCATAATAGAAGCTGCGTGGCTACTGCCGCCGGGGTTACATCTATGTTTCTTTATGTTCTCCGAATTTATTATCAGCAACCTTCTTAATTCAGATGGGTTTTAAATACCTGCAAAGCTTTTAACCAAAAAATTCAATAACCTCCTTTTACAGATCTCATATTTCTACAATCGTTGGACGTTGTATTTTCCGTCTCGCTCGGTCTCCTATCGGCACACAAGGACGGCCTGATGATGTGCGAAAGCTGTGAGGAAGCCGCCGAATATCTGAAGCATAAACTCCCAGACATCGACAAGGACATTTACGAGAAAATCATGAGAAAGGCAAGTCTCCTTTTTGAATTTTAACCGTGTCTCCAAAAAATTTGCTTTCTTCTTTGTAATTTAAAATGAATTACTTTTAAAGTTTGACTGCCTCAAGTTAAATCAGATGGTATTTTAAAGTTCCCTAATTAACATAGTTGTAGTTGGTCCTGGTAGCATCATAAAATATTCAGTACATTCAGCCAGTTAGATGTTGATTTGTTTTGTTACAGCTTGAATTCATTTAAAAAATAAACAATAAGCCGAGCCGAGTACTTAAACTATGTATTGTGTATCTTTCTGTTTTTTAAATGCTTATAAGTAGTATTATACTAAACATACCTACTAAAAATGCATTTAAGCATCATGTGCACTACATGCCGACGTTGTTAATAATTACTTTAATATTATCTTAACTAAACTATTAATTTGCCTTAATCATAAATATTATGCAGAATAGCAAGTAAGATAAACTAGCTGTAAGTGTTCCAAAAACTGTAAAAATAAAAAAAAAATACTAGGGCAGTCAACGATTCTGTTTCGAATCCAGCTTAGTGGGACCTAGTAAAAATACTAAAATTTTGTTATCTAGCAATAAAATGCTTTAAATTATATATTAAAGTAAAGGATGTGCTTTTAGCGAAGTATTTGTGTTTAAGAACAACTAAAATTGGATAATCATCCAGCTTGATAGAACAGTAGTTAGCGCTTACAATCTGTAATCGTGGAAGAAGTCTTAAGTCCAAAAATAAAGAAAAAATATCCAAGCACCTTAAGCCTTAGGTCCCAGCTGCATTTGCATTCTTAAGCACCCACCAACACGTATACGGGCTTGCGTGGTGAAACATGGCTTATTACTTCTATTGCGCCCACAGGGGAAGCCTGTGCTCCAGCAGTGGGGACATTAACTGACTGACGATTTAAGATTTCATTTATATTAACAGGTTCACTCTCTAGACATATCACGGCAATTGAATGACTATGCCGTGGAATACGCAGTACTCCGTGAAGAGATGCCGCGACTGGCTACGCTTACTGAGGATAATAGACTTTTAACGAACGACAAGAACCGAATGACCGAGGAGTTGGATGTAAGTTTTGATAGCAATACAATAGCAATAGCTCTAATGCTATCGTTAGAGTCACTAGAGTTTAACATTTCATCTCGCATCTTTCTCACAAATCTACATTGTGATAAAGATATGACAAAGTATTTGGTAAGTTAATTGTAGAATATTGCAGCAATGATTATAGCTTATAGTTTTTTTAGAAATCGAGTAATGCAAATGAGGTAACTATTGGGCAACGCTTATAGATAAAAGCTAAATAGAGATAAAGACAAGATAAGCTGTTACTTGACAGAGTATTTTCTCTCGAATGTTACAAAATTATCAGCAACTTAGCTTGTCGACCTTAGTCAAGTACCTAAGTATCATTCATTGAGTTAATAATTTCCTGTCTTTAGGTTGCTGATTTTTAAGTACTTATAACTAACATCACATTTCATGATAATTAACCCAAAACTCCAATCTTTGCAGTTGGCAATGGACGCGATAACGAACTACCAAAAGACCCAAGCGCGTTTGGAAATGCAAAACAAATTAATGGAGCAGCAACTCACCTTGCTTAGTCGCTACATATCCGCCAATAATCGTCAAGAAGTCCCCATCGAGATCAAGAAAATCGTCCAAACGTACTGCAAAAAGCTCTCGTTCAGCTCCAAAATAACCTCTTTCGGTTCAAAATTCACTTCAGACGAAGACGATAGCAAAAAAGTGTTCAAAACTGGCATATCTGCGCCAAATTTGTTCGCGAAAATCACTAAAGAGGACGTAATGAACGCTGTGAACAACAGAGACAAACTCACGCCACCGAACGATAAGAAAATATTCCTAATGAAGAAATCACAGTCGGTCCACTCGGGCCTGATTGCGAACAACTTGAAGAACTACCCTCTGAAAGTATTGGATGAAAAATCCGAGATGGATTACAAGAAATCGGAAAGTATAAGCGGTGACACGATAAAAGATTCCTTAAAGGAATTGGGTAAGAAGCAATCTGGCTTTTCCGCCAACACTCACGAGCAGATAAGACAAGAAAGGTTTTATGAGCAACAACTGAAACACGATTTTGATGAAAATCTGAAAAGGTTTGATGAGAAAATCCAACCGAAGTCTTATTTGGACGACTTGAGCCTCTTCCAAAGCAGAAAGTGTATGTCTTTGAACTTGCAAAGGGACACGAGAGACGGTAAAGATAGTGGTTTCGTGACACCAATCAGCCCGGGATATGATAAAAGAGATGATTCTTCATCAATTATTTCTCATCCTTTAAGCGATGTAGATGTTGATATTAAATTCGATGGACAATCAACGAAATTGAAACAAATAAGACCTATCAAACAACAAACAACTGTCAATAAGCACATATAGCGAAATTGTAATTGGAATGGGCTTCTGATGGGATTTTCGTGCAAGATGTAGGTTGATTTGTCTATATGTTATGTCGTTACTTTAAAAAATATGTGATTTTTTTGGGTTTTATTATTTTTATATATACCCTACCTTCATAACTTTGAAATGCATATTTTAATGACTATAGTCGTCGAAGATAGTCTCTAATTTTTTCGATGATTTCCTTTAAAAAGTGTGGTTATTTTAAGTACCTATCCAAATGTCTGTTGGATTGCATCTTATGTGAAATCCTAGTACCCAATGTGAATATTCATAATAAACTACTACAAAAAAGTTGTTCATACAAAGTGTTCATTTATAGAAATGAAAATTTTGAAAATTTTTTGACCTATGTACTTATATAGCTTCTTGTTATTTCTATTTATCACGTCTTATTTTCATGCGAAAATATAGTAAATAAAAAATCAAAATTCCTTCAAAAAAGCTCTACCATTATGGATTGAAAACGAATAAAAACGCTTAAAATTCCACGATCATGTTGTAGCTATTGTAGCCGAAATAAAAGTTAGTATCGTTCAAAATGTAGTACTTAACAATTTAACTAATTTACTCTCACACAAAATGACTCGTAGCATATAATTAAATATATTTTTGTAGATGGATTAAGGAAGATTTAGTAGGTATAAATTGCTTGTGAGCTTTTGCTATTTTGGTTTGAAATCATAGCTGTTCTCCGGTGATCACACGTATTTCAGCACAGGAGGCGCCGCACGCGCCGCATTTAAAGTTCGTTATATGCAATTTTTACGGAACCTCGCACACATCCATCAGCACCCTTAGCACGAACCAATATCGATTTCGAATAGTTTGCGAGTGCAAATTGTCAATGTCAAATTTTGTATGGAAACTTGAATAGCAGCTTCACAAAGTACGTAACGAGAACTAATAAACGTCTTAAGTGTAACATTTGAAACCTCACCTTATATTAGTAAAAAAAGAAATAAAACCTACTACAAAAGGAATAAGCCATTTGAACATTATGTTCTAAAATCATATCAAATAGCGCGCGCTTTCACTTGTTACACCTGTTACACACTTCCGTCCCATTTCACGAAATCACTCCTACAAATTGCAGGAAAGCGAGAGGAAAGATGTTACACATCAAAAAATCATTACACATTTGACAATGACATTTCGCTCTCGCAAACTACCTATTCGAATTTGATATTGGTTCGTGCTAAGGGTATAGGTAATATTATCTATATAATATTACCGTGGTTATCTATTTAATATTACCGTGGTACAGCCGCGTACGCGCCGCATTTCGTAAAGTCTATACGTGCGATCAACTTTCAGGTGTGTTTTGTTTTATTTTATATTCTTGCCATTTATAGTTATTTTTATGACAACATACCGCTTCTATGGGGGATTTTTCCTATTATTATAAGAAGGTATTTTGTACTAAATAAAACAGTTTTTATTTACTCCAGACTTTAGCATTCATTTGATGGGTTACTTTAAGTACCTATTTATCTTTCAAACTATCGCCATAAAATATATCCATTTTAAGCTAATTTCAAATATGCATATTTTTACAAACGGTTAAATAATGTTTCAATAGATTGTATTGAATCTTATTCCATCAGCGCCATATTAAGATAAATGTTTTTTAATTTATTGTTAAAGAATTAAGTCAATTTAGCTAATGTGTTTTATATTTTAGATTTTTTAGATGAATAAAATTTTTTACGTTAATTTTTATTGAATAGGTACTAAGTGTATAGCGCTTAGAGTATTTAAGTTTTACATGATATTAGTAATTAGTACATAAGTACTAAACTAATGACATAATAGTTATAAAGTATCTCTAGAATAAACAGAACGATATTTATGGTTGGGGAGCCCAAATGGGGATTTTTGGATTTACTCGAGCGCGGCAGAATAACATAAGCAACCTTGCACCTTCATCAAACATTTAGAAGATTTGTTACGTGACCCCTACTGCAGAGTTTATTTAAAATACGGTCATTTTGGCCGCGACCATAAGTCATGGTTTGATGTTAAAATTTTTTTTTGCTGCCCAAGACTTTCAGCCCTACATGTATGGGGTGAGTACTTTTACAAGGTGCAAGGTTGCCACCCTTATGTTATTCTGCCGCGCTCAAGTAAATCCAAAAATCCCCGCTTGGGCTCCCCTACTATAAGTCTGTTACTAATGTCATGTTAACCTTACAAATCAGCCTTATTTCAAAAATAACTGTATTTTGAAGCACCACTATTATCAAATAAGTGAAAATTAACTAATTTTAAGGATATATTTAGTGAATATACAACTGCCTGCTAATGAGTATTTTCTGTATGTGTGTATAAAAATGTAACTTATTATTTTAAATAAACGTACTTAAATATAAGTACTTATATGTAAATACTGAGAAGAGAATCTATAGCTACCTTCATATTGCCTAATATATGATACTTGTGTGAAAAAGCAAAATAACATTTATCTATTTTAAGCTTAGATTAAAACAAAAAGGGAAGATACGGCACTCGCGGCTCAAAAGTGATCCGCTTAAATTGTGGTGCATGACCACAATTCGCTTTAGTCACAATTGGACATTCAAACACGCGCAATCTATAGCTACCAACAATATTGCGTATAATCGGTGCTATGAAGATAAAACAATGCCTTCGATGGTTTATAAAGAACGCAAATAGTTCAAAATCAAATAATTATATCTATATTTTATTGTATTAAATTTCACAAAAACCGCTGTAGAAACTATGTTAAAGATAAATAAATAAATAAAAAAAAATAAGAAATGCCTCGGCAACACTTTTCATTCGTAAAACTCTAAAAACATTTTTTTCTCAAAAATCACGTTATCAAATACGTTGCATTGAAGCGTATAGTTCTGTCTCGCTCGCTCGATTGAATATTTATATACAGACTTGCGCGTGTGTGAGAGTTGCTTATATAGTTGAGTCGGATCATATTTTATTTGATGCTAGTATGAACGTACCGTGTCTACCCTTTTTGTTTTAATCTAACATTTTAAACTATAATTTTATTGTGTCGCTATGATGAAATTTGATAATGTAATAAAAATTGCTCAAAACTATTTTTCGTGTTGTTGGAATCGATGTTTTGATTGTTAATATAAGATGGCAAATATGGCTTAGTAGCATGTAAGTATTATGAGTAGCGGTACAGTTATATTGTGATTTAGAGTAAAATACATAGTTGACATTATGAGAATCTTGTTTGATTTTTAACCGACTTCAAAAGTAATTCCATGGAGGTTAGAGAGATGGAGAACGATCGCTACGTGCTAAAGCATTAGCCCGCGTGTCCCTGAAAATCTGTAGAATTTATAGATAGGATCTCCCCACGAGCAAAGATGCCATCCGTCTAGAAAACCAGTAAAGGAACTCGCCATTACCTGGTTTGAGACCCTAAGGATCTTGCCGCTCAACCCGGTGACGCTCTGAAAATTATCAACCATCAGCTTTACAGCATACAAACTCAAAAACATCGAGAAAATTACTAGCGTATCGTCCGTGGTATCGTCGCATACACCCGTCACTAATCGTGGCATATTCGTGGCAGGGCCATCCTTTCCCACATCTGCGAACGTAGTTTTGGTGGCTTTTGAATTAAAAAAGTCGTCCGAAATTTGAATTAGTTCTGTCGTATGGTCTTAATGATTTTTTTCGGGTAGCTGGCGACAATTGGACATGCATAAAAGAGGTTGTGGGAATCGATAAATTTACAACATGTGCAACTGAATTAGCGTACTTCATTCAACGTTCGAAACATGGAGGTTAGAGAGAAGGAGAACGATCGCTACGTGCTAAAGCATTAGCCCGCGTATCCCTGAAAATTTGTAGAATTTATAGTTCATTTTTCAGCCACCAGCCGCGCTGCCGTCGGTAAGTAGTATCTGTGAAGGAACGAAATTATAAAAAAAAAACAATTAAAAATTTATTTCATCACCATCATCAGCCTATTAATGTCCCCACTGCTGGGGCACAGGCCTTCCCCATGGATGGAATAGGGAGTTTGGGCCATGACCCACCACGCGGGCCCAGTGCGGATTGGTGGATGCTAACGACTGCAGATGCAGACGGGACCAACGGCTTAACGTGCCTTCCGAAGCACGGAGGAATTCGAGGTAGTAAATTTTTGGTCACCCATCCAATGACCGACCACTGCGAAAGTTGCTTAACTTCAACGATCGCAGCCGAGCGCGCTAACCACTTGCGCCATCGAGCTCCTCAAATTTATTTATTAATCTATATATATAAAAATGAAACCCGTTTTCCGTTGTCACGACATAACATGAAAACGGCTTGACCGATTTGGCTGATATTTTTTTGTAGTTTTCTAATACTCTGTACAAGGTTCTAACGGAAAAAAATATAAAGAAGATCTGTCTGTCTGTCTGCCTGTCCGTATGTCGCAGCCACAATGCGGATTGGCGGGTGCTAACGACTGCAGATGCAGCCGGGACCAACGGCTTAACGTGCCTTCGGACTATTATGAAAATATATATGTTGTTTTTTATTTAATAAAAATTAGTAAAGTCCTCAGGTATGGCGAGACCAGGGAAACAAGGATTCATTTTTATATGGAGGATTTTATAGATTCCAGTTCAAATTGAATAGGTACTCATACATAAGATAGGTCAGCTATACAAAATAAAGTAGTGCATCAAAGCTACGCTAAGGCGGTACGAAGTTCGCCGGGTCAGCTAGTAAATAATAATAAGTGCTCCTGGACACAGCGCGCATCGTCAGGCAGTTTCTTTCTCTGCGACCCTAACCACCGGTAGCTTGGACCTAGCAGCGCTGCTGGTGGCTTTCTGGGTTCGGTTTTTTATACTTTATTTATTTTTGTATTTTACTTTTATATGTGTTTTATAAAAAAACCTAAATGAAAAAAAAATGAGAAATAATAATAAAAATTTCGTTATTTTCTTTGAATGATATTATATACACGTATATTAAACGTTGATAGATCATGTCAAATTAGCGCACAACAGTCTGCTTTTATTGAGACAACTTGGCGATCGCAGCGCCTCACTTATTTTGTCCATATTTCTGGGATACTATTTTCTACAGCGATCGTTCTCCTTATCTCTAACCTCCATGGTTCGAAAGCTACAATTTAATGAGGGCTATCGCGTATGAATCCGCCGCTAGAGGCGCTAGTGTAGCGTGAGGTCTCCGAAATGTCAAATGTTATTGCTTGTTGGTTGACTACGCGGGTTTATTACTTATTAAAATAATGTTGTGAATAATTGGTAACGATTCGGCTTAATTATGGCAAATATGAGTTATGTGGCAATGAATGTCAGTTATTAAAAATTGAGCTTAGAAAAATGATTAAGTTCCCCTTTTTTCCGAATAAAACGGAACTGCGCGTCACTGTGGCATGGCCTATTATGTTTAGGATATGGTTCTTTTGTGTTAAAATACCATCTAAATGTAACCTTTGATTTCATGTGCGTATTAATAAACTTTAAAAGTTACAATTTAGGACCTCACTCAACAGTGGCGCCATGTGGTGAGACAGAAAACGGTAGACCTCATTACAAATCTTCGTCACGTTAAGTGTGGGATAGGATAAGCATAGGGCCTCCACGTTGTCAAATTCAACATCAATGTCAAACTGTCAAACACAAGGTGTGATGTGCGGGTCCCCATTAGTGTTCACTCATTCTCACACATAATGCTCACACACACAAATATACACATACTCATACTAAATATTGATTATATTGTGTAATTATAATTTTTATTATTTTTAAAGCATGTAACTGCTTGATGTTTAAATCTAAAGAAAATATAACTAGAAAAAATTCCACGCGGACCAGGCAGCAGACGGGACTCGAACCCGCACCCTTCGCAATCCGGGCGAATGCACTGACCAATTATGCTACCGCGGCCCTCACGGACCGCGTCGAAATTCTTTCTAGCTATTCTTAAGCTGCAAGGCAGCGCCATCTCTTCGCATTATAGGTAAACCCACAATGTCAAATGAATACTTTTACAAGTATTAAACATTTGAAAGAAGAAATAGCAATTATAGTTATAATTTTTATTATTTTTAAAGCATGTAACTGCTTGATGTTTAAATCTAAAGAAAATATAACTAGAAAAAATTCCACGCGGACCAGGCAGCAGACGGGACTCGAACCCGCACCCTTCGCAATCCGGGCGAATGCACTGACCAATTATGCTACCGCGGCCCTCACGGACCGCGTCGAAATTCTTTCTAGCTATTCTTAAGCTGCAAGGCAGCGCCATCTCTTCGCATTATAGGTAAACCCACAATGTCAAATGAATACTTTTACAAGTATTAAACATTTGAAAGAAGAAATAGCAATTATAGTTATAATTTTTATTATTTTTAAAGCATGTAACTGCTTGATGTTTAAATCTAAAGAAAATATAACTAGAAAAAATTCCACGCGGACCAGGCAGCAGACGGGACTCGAACCCGCACCCTTCGCAATCCGGGCGAATGCACTGACCACTGACATTGTGGGTTTACCTATAATGCGAAGAGATGGCGCTGCCTTGCAGCTTAAGAATAGCTAGAAAGAATTTCGACGCGGTCCGTGAGGGCCGCGGTAGCATAATTGGTCAGTGCATTCGCCCGGATTGCGAAGGGTGCGGGTTCGAGTCCCGTCTGCTGCCTGGTCCGCGTGGAATTTTTTCTAGTTATATTTTCTTTAGATTTAAACATCAAGCAGTTACATGCTTTAAAAATAATAAAAATTATAACTATAATTGCTATTTCTTCTTTCAAATGTTTAATACTTGTAAAAGTATTCATTTGACATTGTGGGTTTACCTATAATGCGAAGAGATGGCGCTGCCTTGCAGCTTCAGAATAGCTAGAAAGAATTTCGACGCGGTCCGTGAGGGCCGCGGTAGCATAATTGGTCAGTGCATTCGCCCGGATTGCGAAGGGTGCGGGTTCGAGTCCCGTCTGCTGCCTGGTCCGCGTGGAATTTTTTCTAGTTATATTTTCTTTAGATTTAAACATCAAGCAGTTACATGCTTTAAAAATAATAAAAATTATAACTATAATTGCTATTTCTTCTTTCAAATGTTTAATACTTGTAAAAGTATTCATTTGACATTGTGGGTTTACCTATAATGCGAAGAGATGGCGCTGCCTTGCAGCTTAAGAATAGCTAGAAAGAATTTCGACGCGGTCCGTGAGGGCCGCGGTAGCATAATTGGTCAGTGCATTCGCCCGGATTGCGAAGGGTGCGGGTTCGAGTCCCGTCTGCTGCCTGGTCCGCGTGGAATTTTTTCTAGTTATATTTTCTTTAGATATATTGTGTAATTTGTGTAATATATGTACTTTTATGTAGGTATATGTATAAATTAAATATTTAATATGTAAATGTATTCTGCAACAGTTACCTAAAATTTAGCAATAAGTTTTTCAAATTATACCTAATATTACCTAAGCCTCAAGTCACGTCATACCCTGTTTTTATGATGTATGTAGTCAGCGGGAGGGTCCTGGTGACCTGTGTCACAGGTTTCGCTGAAACCTAATTCAGGCACCAGTCTCTCACAATACTATTAAATATTGTAAACCACAAGTGATATACCACAATGAACTTTTTTTCATGTGAGAGAAAAATAAATAAATGATTGATTGATTGATTCAATTCCATACCTCGTCGTTGCGGTCACGCGGCAATTCTGTAGCGAGTCACGTTTAGGCGCTTTGCAGACGGCGGGGCGGAGCGGGCCGGTCAATTTCGCCGCGAACGATAGCACAAAATGAATCCTATACTACAAACGCACACAGAGGGCAAAAAGACCGCGCCGCAGGTGCCCGGCGGGCACTGGCGGCGCGGCATGTCCGCGGCTAGCCGCCGTGGATCATACAAACCAGTTTATATGGAGTAACGCAGACGGCGGCGCGGGGCGGCTAGCTCAGTCCGCGCCACGCGCTTTTTAGTGATGGACTATTCACTAGCACGAACGTCCTGAACTGACTGCCTCTGCCCGTCGTGTGCTTTGTGTACGCGGCAAGGGCAGCCGCAGACATCGACGGGTAGACGGGGTTTTTATTGCTTCGCTTACAAAAAGAACGCCCCGCCCCGTCATCTGCAAAGCGCCTTATGCGCTGGGATGATCGCCGCGCCGTCCCTAGTAGATTTCCAGACGATCGAAGCTCGGACTCGCCGCGACGCCCATGGTGGTATATCGTTATTCGTATTTTTACTACATCTATGCATAGTCACTTAAGTACTGATGTTGTACTGCACCGCGCCTTCCTCGACATAACTCAATTTTATCCACAATCTTTAATGCAATAACCTTTTAAAATTCTCTTAAAATCAATGCTGTCAGTTTCAACGAACAGTTTGCAAGTTTGCAATCTTTGATTATTTGCTATCTTTGCTTACTATAGAGTATTAACAATCAAGGTTTACAATGACGACAATGATCGATACTGTCATAAAACCACTTGGACTTTTTTTTTCTCAGTTCTTTTCTTCCCTATTGGGAAAGAAAAATTGCAAAGCAATGCAGCCATTGTCTTATTTTTGTATCAATCTTCCTTTTTTTTACATTAGAATGTATGTTTGACGCATTCTAATGTTTTTTGGAGTGTTTGGCACAAAATGTATCTAGTCAGCTTTCTCGACAAGCTTCTGTGAGGTAGTCAACACTACTATAAAGTTCTCACGTCCACTTGACCGGTATAGCGTATATTTTAAAGAATCCACTAATTCTTCAGTTGCGCAGACGGTTAAGCGTTTGTAACACAAATCACACGAATTTATTTCACAATACCCACTATGAATGAATTCAAGATTAATTAAAATAAGACGCGAACCGTACTCGCGGAAACCCGCCAAAAACTCGCATAGACATATAAGTCCATGCGAGTTTTTTATTAATATTTATATTTTTATAATTATATTTTTTTAATAATATAAAGACGTTTATATAATAAGTTCATACTCAGAACCCACTCAGTATTCAGACTACAAACTGTCAAATCTACTGTCATATTATATTCTATAATCACTAAACTTCTCGTAATAAAATTTCTCAAAATTTTAGTGTTCATTTAATATCTTTTAACTGCGTGTACTTAGGTAATAAACTAAAAACAAATACCGTAGCCAATCAAAAAAATATTGAGCGTTACGGCATACCTGAAGACGTGGATATCTGAATTTGAAATAACTTGAGCTTTGCTTAAGCCAAAATTACTCTGCCAGCCTAACAACATACCCCTTTACATTTCTGCCCAAAATGCCTTCATTGAAGGTACCTCATGCCCTGTCACTGACAATTGAAGCCCATAATAAATGGCTGGAGATATTGAAGAATGCACAGGAACTGATTGACACTGACATTGAAATGCAGGTAAGTTCAAGATCACAAACCTGCCAGACTACTTAAATTACTGAAGATCTATCAATTTCAAATTGATTAGGTACTACATTCTCTACAACATACTGTTAGTTATAATTATTAAACTCTACTTTAGTTAAGCAAAACATGTTATTTTTCTAACGCTAGTATGTTTTGATGACATGACATTCCGTATGTGACGTTATGACAATGTTGCCATTTTCTATAATTTAAATATGACTTGTTAGTACGCTGAAACACTTCCGGTGTAGCGGAGTTTGATATCTGAATGATTAATCGATGTAATGTCGATTGATCATTCATATTCAAGGTGGTTGCATAAACGTAGGGTCTATGCCGTTTTGGCTGTATGGTGACATTGGCTTTGCGAATCTTATGGGATGGTGTGTGCCCGTCTTTATGAAGTATTGGCTATGATACCGTTCATAGACAAGCTGCATAAAGACGTTAATCTATGAAAAGTGACAAATATGTGGCGGTGGAGAGTTATAAAAGAGCGCTCCACCTTAGATTGAGTGACTTTTGCTGCGACCGTCGTCCTAGTTGGTGATTCAATAAAATAGTGAAACCTCTGCAGAGTTGTAATTTATTATAAGGCTAATAATACTTAAGAATCAGTCTTCAGACTGTAAGTAAAGTGAGTAAATTTTTTACGTCAATTTTACACACTAATACTATTCGATTATCCATATATTGCCATCAGAAATCTATTAGTGTTATTAGGATTTTTATTTATAAGAAATTGTTTGGTAAAGATCTGTATTTACTCTTGCTGAAATGAGTGGAGTGACGCAAAGCCCTAACTTCATTTATTTTGCGAAAAACATAACGAAAAGCAAATAACCCATAACGTAAAAGAGTGCCAAACTGTACTTCTTGGGCCTTGGCACTTTTCTAAGGATACTAAAAACGTATAATATAATAAATTTAAAGATCTTTAAAATGAGAGTGACCTTTGAACTAATTATTAATTTATATTCATCACAAATAAATACCCTCATAAAGAATCTTGAACCTAGGATCCTTTAGACAAAAGCTCTGCCGTTGAATAAACCGATCGTCAACTAAGGCTTCGATTTCGTCATCGAGGATCAATAGTTTTTCATTAGAACATTTAATTCGTCCAGGAAAAATCAGCAGCAGGTGTTCGCTTAAAAGAAAGACATTTACCCGCAGAAGTCCTGGGCAGGACTTATGCCCAGTATTGCGCTCTCGTCAACAAAATGTATGACGCTTTCCTAAACAACGTGCAGCTACAGAGGGAAACTTATATGAAGGATATTGTCAGCGTGTTTTTAAAGAGGTGCGTTAGAATTTCTTTAGAAACTGATTTTACCTGGAATCATAAAAATCGGAAATTGAAAATGCCTAAAAACTACTGTTATGTAAATGTATTATTGACGACCTCCGTGGCTGAGTTGTTTTGTACGCCGGGTTTCATGGTGTCGCCGACTCGAGAAGTCACGGGTTCAAATCCATGAAAATTTCATCCTTTGGCAAAATTCAAGAAAGGTGAAATCTTTTTCAGAGATGTGTTTGATCTATATATATTCCTTGCTGTTCTTGGTGTAAATATATAAACATTCTTTTCTTACATATTCTAAGTTACATTTACTTATTTTCTCATAGAGAGTGATAAAAAGTAGAGTATCTACGTCGGAAGCAACTTTTTTTCTGAATGGCTTCGCACGGTTTGTGCATTTAGCCAATGTCAAGTGTTAAAATGTTTAGAAATACTATAGCACTCGTGGTCAAAGTAAAAAATCAAGTCAAAGTAAGTAGCAGTCAAGTCAATCCCCCTTCCCCTATGTTTCAGTAAAAGTGTGGGGATTTACTGGAACCTCCCCATGGAATTCTTGATGGAACGTCGAAAGACACTTTCCGCTATTTTGTTTGCGACATAATGGCCATTTGAAGTTAATTTTCGGGCACGGTTAACATCTTAATCATTCTATATGAGCAAGTATGTAGTTACTTACTTCCTTACGTTGTATTTGTTGCTTCCTTCTAAGATTTCAGTCTAAGGAAAGGCCTGTGCCCTAGTATCATCATTTTACTGTTACAGAATCTATGAACTGCGCAATGAGATCGTACACCTGATCGTCAATGATTATATATATGTAGATGAAGGCTTGACACAATTGAAACTAACACCCGAAGACATACAGGTGAAACATAAGAGTGAGATCTTTTTTGTTCCTTTATGTTATAGGGGGCATACGAGCAGACGGCTCACCTGATAAGTAAGGTAAGTGATCACCGTCGCCCATGGACACTTGCAAGACCAGGAGTATCACAAATGCGATGCCGGCCTTTAAGGAAGGAGTACGCTCTTTTTTTTGAAGGTTTTTGGGTCGTATTGGTCCGGAAACACTGCTGGCGATAATATATTCCACAGTTTTGTCGTACGTGGTAAAAAAATCCGACAAAAACGCACGGTTGTGGATAGCCACGCATCAAGATGATGGGGATGAAATTTTTGTCGCGATGTACGATGGCGAAATGCAGCAGCTGGAATTAATCCGAACAATTCCTCAGAACACTCCCCGTGATAAATGCGATAGAAGATGCAGAGCGAAGCTACATCCCAACAGAATCTTAAAGATATCATTATTATGACTCTGTCAATAGGACATACTTGTTCTCCAGCAATGGGACATTATTAGAATGAAAATTTTACCATGAATATTACAAACATGTTTTGAAAACAGATCGTTGTCCCCTACCACTACCCTCTAGAATGTCGAAGTGAGTCCAGCGAGTTATTACTGCAGAAAATGTGGCATAATGCTGAAAAAAGGAAAAATGCGACATTGAAACGGGTAATAACTTAACCATTGTAATGACTTACCTATTAGTTAATGTTTTTACACCCAAATCAGTGTTGTTTAAGATTCTTATGGATATGCGGCTAGTGTTTATAAATATTTTACGTTCTTTAGACATTTTTTTTTATGAAACAATATACAAATACCACAAAAAAAATTAAAAGGCTTCCCACGCTTTTTCTTTTTGAATAGTAGATGAAATAAAATCAAAACTGTGTCTAACCAAGGCGAAACAAGAAGGATTTATTCGTTCTCAATGACTTTTAAAAGAAACAGTGACAGGAAAATTTAGCGTGTTCCATATCGGTACAGCGCCATCTAGATGTTATAACTACTAAGTACCTACTGCACTGTGAAACAAAAAGTCTATTTTGGGATATACCTATCACCAATTCAAAGAATTTTTTAGCCCTATACCTAACTTAAAAAATATATAGTAAATAAAACTAGTTTTTACGGGTTAATGCACGAAACTTTATTTATTTATTGACGTTTCGTAGCCTTTACAGGCTTCGTCGTCAGAATAAAACTTTTATTTAATTTGTCGAGCTACCTTCGAAAGACGTGCATTAACCCGTAAAAACTAGTTTTATTTAATGAGTGATGTGCGTGAAAACCTAAGAAACAAACAAATATATAGTAGTGCTTTAGAGCATATTATTCATGTCTTCCCAAATGAATACTTCGTTTGAGGAATAATTAAGAGCTAACGGTAATTTTTATATATAGAAAACGTCAAAAACAGAAAATAAAGTACCTGTTTCCAAAGAATACAGCACGAACTTGCAATCATCTGGTGATATGTCGGAATATTCTTGCGAAGATCAACAGGAAGACAAAAATGGTAAAACCTTAATGCATGCAATGGTAAACAAACAAAATAATTATTTAATAAAATAATGCAGAAAGCACTTTCGAAACAGGTCGGAAAATATTTTTAGTGGCCTAGCCTAAAACATCTCAGATATTTCAGATCCTTCTATTGAACTCACAGTTACACCGGAAGAATATATTCAAGCAAATATTATTCAACGACATGAGAGATTCAGGTTTGCTAAATATTTTTATTTTTTCCTACCGCCTTAATACTAAGTCAAAGACCTAGACCTCGCGCCCTTCACATCAGGATAGACGCTTGTAACACGCGTGGCATCACTCGTGTGTCACCGCACCTGAGGCCGCAGTCCTACCGCCTCTATACTCAGTCACTGCACTGGACCTCGCGCCCTCCACATCAGGATAGACGCTTGTAACACGCGTGGCATCACTCGCGTGTCACCGCCCCTGAGGCCGCAGTCTTACCGCCTCTATGCTCAGCCACTGCACTGGACCTCGCGCCTTTCACACCAGGCTAGACGCTTGTAACACGCGTGGCATCACTCGCGTGTCACCGCCCCTGAGGCCGCAGTCCTACCGCCTCTATACTCAGTCACAGCACTGGACCTCGCGCCTTTCACATCGGGATAGACGCTTGTAACACGCGTGGTATCACTGGCGTGTCACCGCCCCTGAGGCCGCAATCCTACCGCCTCTATGCCCAGTCACTGTACTGGACGTCGCGCCCTCCACACCAGGCTAGACGCTTGTAACAGGCGTGGCATCACTCGCGTGTCGCCGCCCCTGAGGCCACGGTCTTATTGCCATTAGGCCCAGTCACTGCACTGGATGTCGCACCCGCCACGTCAGGATAGACGCTTGTAATACGTGAGTCATCACTGTAACATCATATTTTATTATTTCAGGCAATTCTTCATGATGGATTTTAAAGCAAAATGCATTAAAAGAAGAACATACTTTGCCTCTAAAACTAAGGAAGCTCCCTTGCCATTAAAGATTGCTGCTGCACAACTGATTCAGAAAACTTATAGGTAACTACAGTCATTATCTTCATATTTTCAAATGCTCTTATTTGTAAAAATAATTTTGTGGACAGTTTACTGCATCTATCCAAGAAACGTTACTTACTTTGCTGGTTTAGCGACCCGGAATCTTGACCTTCGACAAGAGATGATGCCAAATAGACCCCTCACACTAGCATCTTTCGAGCGTCGTCGTTATCCCAGCGGCGACGCAAAGTCGACACGACGCCAGCACTGGCCGGCTTGCATTGTACTTGTTCGCAAAATAACTTAGAATTGACGCACGACGACGACACAACGCTAGTGTAGGGGCCAAATTAAAGAAGCAAGGCGCTAATTGAATAAACGCTGTGACAATACGAAACCGTTGTCAATTTTGATTACAGAGCTTATATGAAGTCAAAAAGAGAACACATTCTCGATACCAAGAGAGATATGATGCTAGGTCTTATACCCAATAGTTTTTCAAACACATTGAAGTATGACGAAGAAAATAACAAGGTAAATGAGCTTTTTTATCTACTGCTCCGATTCCAATTAGAAGTTAAAAGAGGATCATCGATTGTGTTAGCTGCGCATTCCCATGAACTTCTATCATTGGAGTCAACACTTGAATTGTGCTAGTGTTCGGGAGAAGTCACCTCTACCATAATGTACTGACACGACACACTATCTAGCTAGTTTACCGCTCTACTTGGAGATTAGCACAATCACATTTTAGTATGCTATTCACAGTAAGTAGTTTTAAGTAATTGTGTAGTCGTCCCACATCGTCACTGCTGCCAAGAAGAGCACACCCTAAAGTCGCGACATCAAAATGGCTAAAACAAATCACGTCATCACACTTGCGAGGCACGTTCGCCGAGACGTACGCACTTGAGGCAACAGGGCGAGCCGTGCGGTCCTCTAATCGGTACTCACCTTAAGACTTACAGATATTCTTGACCAATAGTGGTTAATGCTAGATATTTCTGCTCCCTGACAGTTGTACGAAAGAAGGCGTAAAACACGATCAAGACTGAACGAAATATTTCTAGAGGAATTGGAAAAAGAGAGGATCCGTTTGATCATGTTCAAGAAAGAGGATCAAATCGATGACATCACTGATGAGATCAGGGAATGGTTTAAAGACTGGTAAGAATATTCATTTTTTTTAAAGCGCAGCGAAATGAAACTTACGAAAGCGCAGTTATTACCTTTGATCATAATTATCACCTCTCATCGGATATATACCAATATCCCCTCTGCTTCGGCACAGGCCTTCCCTCAGGAACATTGTGAACAGGCCACTTATGACTACTATAGCCTGAATCAACAAAAACCTGTTAATATTTCATTTTTGGTAACCAATTTCGGTCATTGTGAAATTGTTTAATTTCCATGATTGCAGACCGACGCGCTAACAACCAAACGGTTTTTGCTTACTTTACCTTGCAAATGCTTTTTTAAATTTCTAAACTTCTTAGTATATTTAATACGACGTTGCAAGATGTCAACTAAAGAAGTTTTTTTTTTTTTTAAACAACTGAACCAGGTATTACGGCTATGGGTTCTTCCCTGAATTTCCTCACGAACTGGAAGGCGGTACTTTGATGGTGGTCAGAGGAGAGTATCCATCGATTGAAGAGAAAATTGAGTCGGATGAAAAATATCTAGCTGCTACTAAAGGAAAGACAAAGGATCAGGTATGAGGCATACACAAGCTTTAATGATAACGGTTCTCAGATATAACGATAGCAAATTGAAATTTTCAAATCCTTAAGGTTAGTAAGGTTTTGTGAGAACTAAGATTGGGTTCAGACTGGCACGTAAGAACGGCTGTAGCAGCAATTTTTCTGTTGCATCAGCTAATTCATAACTGGACTCAATTTACACCGAACATCAAAGGGGTGTGTAATACCAAGATTGCAATGATGTTATAACAAGATTTTCAACAGTAAAAGTAAATTTGTGAATGTAAAAAACTGATAGATCAAAATGTCTTTAAATGTGGAGGATTTTACTTTGATCATTCTGCTTTCTACAGTTAGTACGGCTTTCGATATATCGATATGTATATTAATATTATTACATATCTTATAGTTGAAAGATGATGCGGCTCGGGCGAAAGCCGATGCTCTAATGAAAGCGCAAGCAGAGAAACAGAAAGAGAGAAAAGAGGCGCAACAGCTTTTAAAACTACGATGCGATCCGTTCTCTGATCCAGGATACGAGGTCAAGCGTTCTGAAGTCAGGCATAGTTTGATCGAGGTGAAGTAACTTTAAAATTTGTATGTATAGGATATTAAAATCCAAATGTCGTAAATATTGTTGAAAAAGGTAAAATTAGATATAAATAATCTCAATTCCATTGTTTATGTTTAGGCCATCCACAGGTACCGAAGTGTGTGGTCCATTCACGACCGTTTCCCTCCTGACAAATCTGGTGAAGTCGTATATGGATTCATAAAAACATTTCTTACCGAAGACTTGATGGAAGAAATTCACGTGGATTGCAGAAAATATGTGGATGAGCTGATGCGGTAGCTTTATTGTCTTTGAAGTTGCCATGCTCATAATAACCATTATTAGTATCATCAGCCACGTTATTCTTAATATTAATAACGTTGTCAATGGCTTTATCAAGAACATTATTTTATCATCAATGTTAATGTAGATTTCAGTAGAAGGGAATATTTTGATATTCTTTTTATTATCAAAAAGCTTGGGGCTACTTCTCCAAACGAAAAAATAGCGTCTGCTTGGAGAAACTAGGTTTTTTAAAATTAATTTGTAATTTATAATATTCATTACTATAGTCTGGCATGCAGCATACCTTGGACATATACATAACGGTGCCTCGCTTTATTATAAATACACTAGCTGACCCAGCGAACTTCGTACCGCCCTAAAAAAATAGGGGTTGTCCAGCGGACAAAATTGTGAATCTAAACCATTCTCAGATCCCCTTGAACACACACAAAAAATTTCATCAAAATCGGTCCAGTCGTTTAAGAGAAGTTCAGTGACATACACACTCACAGAAGATTATATATATAAAGATTAAAAAATCGCAAACTACCAAAAATTTATCACTGGCGTGTCCTGACACCAGTTTTGTCGAATTAATGTAAAATAACTTTTTTCAACTAAACAACTAAAACGTTTGAAAGTCGAGTTGGGTATGGGATCTGTAAAGGCACACCACGTAGTCCAAAGGATCAGAGTCCACGTGAACCCCTTACATTAAAAAGAAGGGATCATCCGTCTGAACTGAACATACAGGCATACACCGGCTTTAGTTTTGAAGGAGTCTTCAAGCTACGTGCTGCAAGCCAGGATAATTTAGGGAGCTTGTGGCAGCGGGCGAAAGTATTTTGTGCCTCCGTCGGAGACAACAATGCTAGCCGTGCTGTCTCAAGATGGTGGTGGACAGCGTTGAGGTTTTGAGTGGAAGCCGCGTATTTTGCAGAACTCGACGTCAACCACCGCGGAAGGCGTGAGAGTGTGCACCGCTGTACGCCCGAACTTTGTTTTGCAACTGCTATTATAAAGGATGAAGAGATATAAAACGAATGAACATTGTCGCAACAAAACCGGGCAAATAAGCGAGGCTTGTTTCCCTAAAAGACTTTCTAAAGACGAGATGTACCGATTAGCCGGATGGAAAGCCTTCGTACCAAAAATCATAAACATTACCACTCGTAATTGGTTAATTTTGATCAGTTTCTATGTTATTCATGTAATTATTATCTTGCCATGTGTCTTTCTGTATTCTCCAGGTTAGATTTAAAGCTGTTGATAAAAATGCAACAAACTATGTACAAACGAATCGGTTGGAAGTACCCTAAGATTAAACCAAGGAAGAAACCTAAAATGCCACAGATACAGAAACCATTAAACGTCGATAAATCAATGTTAAAGGAGTTTGAGGTAAAAATACGATTCTATTAAAATCTAACTAGAAAATTTTAATAGGTATTTTTACTATGAAACTACTTAGGTAAGATCTTCTGCAAGGAAGTTTTGTAGTTCTACATGTTTGTTTTGTTTCAACTAATCTTGTAATATCTAATAAACAAATTGTTCACCAGTAGTTTTTACAATAACCTAATTGATCTCGATAAATGACGACGGGCAGCGGCGGGTGGTAGAGGGCGAATCCAAAATACGTTATTAGTGTAATAATTAGTAATTAAATAAGTAATGCCGCTCGCCTCTCCTTATATTATTGATGTTGATATCTTAACTTTTCGGGGGAGGTTTGAACCCCCAAACCCCTCCCCCTGGCTACGCCCATGGGTCAGTGTATTCGCCCGGATAGCGAAGGATGCGGGTTCGAGTACCGTCTGCTGCCTGGTCAGCGTGGATTATTTTCTATTTTCGTTTTTTGTAGATATATATATATATACTAGCTGACCCAGCGAACTTCGTACCGCCCTAAAAAAATAGGGGTTGTCCAGCGGACAAAATTGTGAATCTAAACCATTCTCAGATCCCCTTGAACACACACAAAAAATTTCATCAAAATCGGTCCAGTCGTTTAAGAGAAGTTCAGTGACATACACACTCACAGAAGAATTATATATATAAAGATGTGTGTGTGGGGGGGGGGGGGGGGTGGGATGCGTGCGCAGCTCTTCCCGAAGAGCATGAAAGTTGGAGAGTTGAATTTTGTTCTTAATATAACCTGTGCTTTACTGATCTATTGATTTCTTTTTACAGGACTATCAAGTTTATGTAGACTTCTTCTTAGACACAAATCCGACCCTAAAGAAAGAGAGGGAGGAGTATGCAATCATCAATAACTACCGCGAAATAATGTACAAAAAGATGGCCGAAATCAAAAAGAAAAAGAAAGCTGAACGCTAATCCACCATTTTGTTTTTCGACGATCTCAAAATGGCGGTGAACCACGTGTGACTTTTATACTGGTTATAAGTAGGTATTTCTTTGGTGTCAGCATTTAAAAGACATTATTATTTTAAGTATCTTTCAAAAGTGTTAAATAAATTCACGAAATAAAATTTGTGTAGGTTTTCTTCTTTCACGGGGAAGGACATTGTTTTCTTTATAATATTTATTAGCGACCTTCTGGTAGTTCATAGAATTTTAGCCACTCAAACAACCTTAACTGTAGAACAGTATACTTTTATTTTATTACTGGTATTCATCATCATCAGCCTCTTAATGTCCCCATCACGCGGGCCCAGTGCGGATTGGCGGGTGCTAACGACTGCAGATGCAACCGGGACCAAAGGCTTAACGTACCTTTCGAAGCATGGAAGAACTCGAGATAGAAATTTTTTGGTCACCCATCCAATGACCGACCACTGCGAAAGTTGCTTAACTACAACGAACGCAGGTTCGGCTGCGCTAACCACCTGCGCCATTGAGCTCCTTGGTTACTCCATTACTGGTATTAATTAATTTAAACAACAAGAATTAACTTTTTCTTTTTTTCTTGCAGCCAGACCTGTATTTTTTTTTCTCAGCGGTTTTTCCTTTCAGCTAATACCATAGCTGAAAGAAAATACGCTGAGAAAAATTGGGCGGTCTTCAGAAGGTGGATAAACTGTCCATGGGGAGCAATGACCCCTTTCCATCGAATGGGCTATCAGATCATTAGCCTGCATAAGCAAAAAAAATGCTTTATTACTGCAACGTTTGCAACGTTACAGCCACTTTACTTGTATAGCGCCTACGGCTGATAATAATACATATAAAAAAAGGTAAATTTAAAAAATCAAAAAACCCGACTGCTTAATTATACTTCAAATAAAAACTGAAAAGAAAAAAACAAGTCCAGTAGTCTATAATTCTGTTAATAAGGAACAAAGCTACTTTAACAGTCGGGACCCATTAGATATTCAAGAATACATAATATTTTTCAACAGTGGGTCCCGACTGTTAAAGTAGCTTTGTTCCTTATTAACAGAATTATAGACTACTGGACTTGTTTTTTTCTTTTCAGTTTTTATTTGAAGTATAATTAAGCAGTCGGGTTTTTTGATTTTTTAAATTTACCTTTTTTATTTCACACTTTTTAGTTAGTTAGTATTTTAAGACGGTATATACCGTAGTCTTGTTACTTCAGTAAGGGAATTAATATCGCGGGAATTATTAAGTACCTTAAGACAGTCTAAAAATGAATCTAATGATACCGCATACATATTTTTTTAAAGGGAAATTTAGAAAAAATATTATTATGTCTTTATCCCGTGGGACTTTTAGGATAAAATGTATCCTATGACACTCCCGTAATCAAGACAAATCTAACGATACCTCATACATCAAAATCCATCAAGCCGTTTAGGCTACAGGAGGTCACAAAGGAACAGACATACATACATACTTACATACACTCCCTAAACATTACCCTCCCTCTTTGGCAGTCGGGTAAAAACTAGCCGTCCCAGCAAACTTCGTATCGCCATAAAAAAGTAGGGGTTGGTGGTAGATGAGTGAAAATTTAGGGTTGTATGTATTCTTGTATGATGTATCATAAAAAAAATAAAAACAAAAATATGTCCATAAAAAATTTAGGGATGGGACCACCCTTAACATTTAGAGGCATTAAAAAAATGGTTGCCTGTAAAGTCGGTTTTACGGGCGAAGATTTTACGTGACAACGTCTTTTTCTCGGTAGAATATTTATTGATATGAATATAATTAAATTGCACAATAGGAACAAGGAATTGAATGAAAATAAGAATTGCACAAATTTTAACTATAGAAATATATTTTGTTTACTAAAACATTGTACATGTAAACTTAAACTTAACACGAGAGACTCATCGTAACGTTACCGAGCGTTACACTTTTTCATAAGTGACTCCCAGCCGCAACCTAATTTAAGACGTTGTCACGTCAAAAGAGACCCTTAACATTTAGATGTTGTCCGATTCTCAGACCTACTGAATATGCATATAAAATTTCACTTAAGTGATAATGGTTGTCCACCTGTAACGTAGTGTTCTGAAACCTACAATGCGCCTTCGCGCCAAAATTCAAACTATTGGGTATTGTAACGTAGTGTTCTCAAATGGGTTAGGAGGAATGTTATCCCAGGAAATTGATAGAACACTACGTTACACAACCCTATAATTTTTTTGGACAATATTTTTTTAATGTGGTATTAAAAATACATACAACCCTAAATTTTCTCTTCTACCACCTGCCCTTATTTTTATGGCGGTACGAAGTTCGCTGGGTCAGCTAGTATATATATAATTTGGTTACCTTTTGTCTCAATTTGATCGATGGCAGTCAAAAACGGGCGTAAAAGCAAAAACATTGTGATAAAAGTGGTGTAATTCTTTGAAATACAATATTGAAAGTAATACAAATCTTTCTTTGCATCGAAGTGCCAAAGTTACGTTGCCCTGGACTCCCTTTCAGAGCCAGAGTACCCAATTAAGAGTTTAAGGCCCGTATTACAGAATGACAACTAAATGTTGATCTTTACTTGAGTACAGTTAGAAAGGGATGTCGCTATGTGTTATATACAGGGTGTTACAGAATTCCGAAATAAAAATTTGTAGGTATCTGAGCGGGGCGCAGGGGCGCCTGGGGGAGAGAGGGGGCTCTGTTTTGGTAGTAGTATTCGTACGCATTTATAGGGTTGTCATAGGCAGGTGTAAAACGATATTTTTATTAATTTAATTAGAAAATAAAAGTGGTCTGAAAGGCGTCAAACTTTCGTAGGTAATTCTATACAAGGAACTCAACCAAACCCTAAAGTTTTATTTCGGACTTTTGTCACACCCTGTATAGCGACATCCCTTTCTTGAGCATAGGCTCAAGACTAGATCAATCACTGAGAATCTTTCTATAATACGGGCCTAAGAGCCCTAGCCCGGATTGAGAAGGCTGTTGGTTCCAGTCTAGCCTGACACCTAGGCTAGTAAAGAGTTTTTTCCAATTAAAATTACAATTAATATAGAGTTTTTTTTTAAACAAAAGAATGATTCACCCTTGTCCAAACATTGAAAGCACCCAATGACTCACAAGAGAAATTTGCCCCACAATAATTTTAACATAAAGAACTTTACTGCTCAATTAATACGATTCAAAATTCCAAAACATCGTGTACACAAAATATTTACAAAAAACTCGTATTGTGCTCCATAACAATACTGGACAATAATGTGTTCATAAGACAATCGTATTTTTTGAATACGACAAATTGTCATTTAAGAAATTGCAATCACGACACGAAATCATGCAATATTTAAAAATTGAAAATTTCTAATAAAACTGTTAAATTGGTGTCCAACTGTGAATTTTCAGTGCAAGTGGAGGTGAAAAATGAAATATTTACTGTGAAGTTTTTTTTTTCTTATAATGATACTACTAAAACCGCTCACCGGGCTGTTGCACTGACCATTATGGTACCGCGGTCCTAATGGCCGTGTCAAATTCTTTGTAGTATTTCTTAAGCTGTAAGACAGCGCCATCTATTCGCATTAGTAACCCACAATGTCAAATGAATGCCTTTACAAGTATTAAATATTTGAAAGAAGAAATAGCAATTGTAGGTGTATACTACTAGGTATATAACTACTCGATGGCGCAGGTGGTCTACTCGTTCTGCTACGATCGTTGAAGTAAAGCAACTTTCGCAGTGGTCGGTTATTGGATGGGTGACCAATAACCTTATATCTCGAGTTCCTCCGTGCTTCGGAAGGCACGTTAAGCCGTTTGTCGCGGCTGCATCTGCAGTCATTAGCACCCGCCAATCCGCACTGGGCCCGCGTGGTGGGTCATGGCCCAATCTCCCTATTCCATCCATATGGAAGGCCTTTGCCCCAGCAGTGGGGACATTAATAGGCCGATGATGATGATGATGCCGATGATGATGATGATGATATTACTACAATAATTTTAGTAATTGACAGAAGAAATAGCAATTGTAGTTATAGTCCACGGCCATTAGGGCCGCGGTTGCATAATGGTCAGTGCATCCGCCCGGATGGCGGAGGGTGTGGGTTCGAGTCCCGTCTGCTGCATTGTCCGCGTGGACTTTTTTCCAGTAAAATTTTCTTTAGATTTAAACATCTAGCAGTTTAATGCTTAAAACATTTAAATTGCTAATAAGTAATAATGAAAAGTGGACAAGAAAACCATGGTTTTGACGAAGAGTTCTCTGTGTGTAACAATTTCGATTCTGAAGGAAGATATTCTTCAATGAGACAGCCTGCTCTTAAAAAAGGTAATTAATTACAAAGACAACTAATTTATTCATAAGAGAGGTAGGGCATAGCGGATTTCCCGCTTGAATTGGAGCGCCTACCCGGGGAAGGAACCTCCACCTTTCAGAATATAAGTGAAATGAAATGAAATGAAAAACATTTATTCGGAACAGACGTGGATACATACAAAAGGTTAAATTTATACACACACAAACATACATATATGTACATATATATATACACATACACATATATACATATATATATATATATACACTAAATGACGGACATTAAAAAACATACATTACATATATCCACAGCTGGACCGAAAAGGATCCAGTTCAGCATGAGTCAGTTTGCATTGACGCTGGTTTTCAACTGGTTCCCTTCCTGATTTGTGGATGCCAGACACTATGATACAAGATTAAAGGATTTTATATTAAATAAAAATGAAATATCACAAATTGTACCAGTGAACAAAAGAAAAAGTTAAGTGAGTAACATATTCAATAAACTCATCTAAACAGTAAATAACACAATAACATATTTTCAAGGTAAACAAACCATGAAGCACTGACATAAATATTTTTGTTTTTTTTTTAATTAATTTGCAGACGACCCAGTTAAAAACTCATCACATCCACAGTAAATACATAAGTAAAATAACATTACCTCTTG